CGTGTACCCAAAACGGTACTCGAAGTTTCAAACGGCTCCTTCCAAGTTCTTTTCCCGTTTGGTACTGGGGGGCGGGTTGCTTCAACCACTGAATAGACAATAAAGTGAAATGGACCTCACTAGAGTCTAAGACCTGTAAGGCACAAGGCGAAATTGGCTCTGAAAGTTCCAGAAGTATGCTACAACTGACAACGCAGCACCATGAGCCTCAGGGGGTGACCATCGAGTTTGGGCGTCCGCACAAGAGTTCACCTCCGCCCCTCTTATGGGCGCCCTTCAACCTGACAGGCAGCAGTCAACCGTGGCTGGGCACGCAGAGGAGAGGAGGTTCCAGAATGAACGCAGCTCTCCCCGCCCGCCCCGCAGGCACCTGAGCTCGCCCGACGCAAAAGTTCCCTGCGGCGTCCGCCCATGCGGTGCCTAGGGCAAAGGGGCAGAGATTGTTTTCTTTCAGGTTCAAGAATAAACCTTGTTGAGAGCCATTTGTTTGCACACCTCTTATCACCCCACGTCGGTGCAGCTGAAAGTGCAAAGTGAAGGCCCCAGTGTTCGGAGCTGAGGGGGGGCGGGGGCGTAACTTACTCCATCTGCGTTCCTGGCCCGCCTGATCCAACACTGAGCTCTGAAGCGTTCCTCTCGCTCACTGAAGCTTGTCCACCTTGCCGAGTCTCCGGCCTTGGGAGCCCCAGCTGGCCACTGAGGCCCTGCGCAGCGCCTCAGAACCCGGGGGACCCTTCGCCCTAGTCTGGGCGCCCTGGCGGGTCAGGAAACCCCGCTTTCGCTCTCTTTGCTTCAACCACTGAAGAGGCAGTAAAGCGAAATGGGCCTGGATCTGGGTCAGGACGACCTAGAAGGTAGTCGGGGAAATTGGTCTGAAAGTTCTAGAAGCATGTTGAACTGACCACCCAGCGCCATGACTCAGCCGCGCAAGGTTCGGGGCTGTGAACGCTGAGCGTCAACTCACTCTCGCCAAGCCCTTTTGGGTTTACTCACTCGAGCAGGGAGCTGAGGTGCGGCAACTCAGCGGGGACAAAACACCTGCGCGGAGCTGCGGTTCGAGGGCGGAGCGGGAGGGGGCGCCCGCCTTCCCCGCGCCAAACAGTGACCCTCGAGTCTGTTCCGGGATCATCCCGGGTCGCGAGCCGTGCCCGCGCAGGCTAGTCTCCCAGAGAAGCCTCTCCTTCCAGTCCGCTCCTGGAGCCGCAGGGCCCCTTCCTAAGCGGTCCCTCTGCCTCGGAGCCCCTGGCCCGGGAGAGGTGGGTGTGCCGCGGCGATCTCCCGTGACCCCCAGGCCTGAAACCGGACCCCGGCAGCATAGGCCTTGCCTCTGTGGCCCGGGCCTGCGTTCGAGTCCTGATGCTGCTGCGTGTCCTGAAGCAAAAAAAAAAAAAAATCAGTCTCTGTAAGCCTTGGTTTCCTCGATGTGGATAATTGTGAACCCACCACATTAGGATGGTTCCCAGGGGTCAGTGCTTGTCAGAACTCCTGGACTTCAGGAAACGCTCAAGAAATAAAAGCTGGCCGTTACTACTGTATTAGTTATCGCAATATATCTGCTTTTTCCACGAGACTGTAAGGTACTGGAGAACAGGAACTCCCAGCACCTGGCACAGTACGTGGCATGGTAAGCGAGACTAGCTGCCTGGGACCCTCGACGGCAGAGTGCAGAGTGGGAACAGGGGGCAGTCCAGCAGCAGCGCGTGTGACCCCGAGTGACGTAGGCGAGTGAGAATAAGCCTGTCCCGGCTGCGCACAAACTGCACTTCGGCGCCCACCCCGCGCCCCCTGCCGACAGGGGTCATCCTCTTCCCCCACCCCACCCCCATCCCGGCACCCCTCGGCGTCCGCTTTCTGTGTAATGGAGGACGCCCAGAGGTCGGGCAGAGGCTGTGCGCAGAGCCAGGGGAAGCCCTAAACGCCTGACCCAGGCCAGCGGTGGGGCAGAGGCCCGAAAGCAAGGCGCAGCAGACCTGTTCTCCAGAGCCGCTCGCTGTCTGCCAGAGGTCGGCAGCTGTTCGACCAAGGCTTACGGTAAGTACCCTGTGGTTTACACTATGGCAACAGAGAAAGGAGGGGTACCTAACTCAAAGGAAGTCGTTTCTGCCCTGGAGTCTCACTGTTCATGTGTACAATGGGAACTATGATTCCGTCCTTGCTTACAAGGCTTGTCACGAGGCTCCCAAGGGAGGAGACAGATAAAGGGCTGTCGCGACAACCTGGTGGGCATGGGATCCAAAACAGGAAGGTCTCAGCGACGGTGTTGGAACATAGAAGACCAGAGCAGAGACACTGTGCCCCCTTTCTTCCCCCATCCTTCTCTAGAAAACTGAAAGCAGAAAAGGGGAAAGAGGGTGCCCTGAGGTGGAGGAGGAATTTGGTTGCAAGGAAGCATGTCTATTACCCCAAACTCGGTCTGAGCCCCCCCTAAACTCCTCTCAAATCACTATGGAGAGGCATCCCCCTACTCTGAACTGTGGACAAGAGTGTCATTTCTCTACAGTACTGTCTCCCTGACTTTAGACCAAAGTGAGGAAATCGTTTGGATATTGTGATCTGATAATTAGGCAAACCCAGATTTGTGCCCAGATTATCAGAATTAACATCTCAGGTCTTTACTTGATTCTCCAAATGCAATTGTAAATTCTGCCTCTCTGTCCCTCTCTCTCTTTGCTCATTGCCTCCGGTCTTTTCTCCCACATACAAACAAGTCCCTTGTTTTGCAGTTAAAGGGGAACTGGGGTCATATTTCCTTCCAGGAAGATGCTATTTTCCAGATCTAGCTGACCTGGACTTCAGGCCATTAATGCAGGTTCTCACAGTTAATAAAATTAAACACATTTGCCACCATGAAAAAGTCTGGAGTACATGCTTGGGGTGGGAACAAAGGAGCAGAGAGAAGGCAAGGCTATGGAAATTAGATCTTTTATATTTCATTTTCAATAGGAAAACAAGTTTTTACCTAGGTCAAAACAGCTACCACCATAGTGACAGAAAGATTTGTAACTTGGTGTCAGGACACCAAAAAGCAATCTTGATTACATATCAAGAGGTTAAGTTTGAGACTGGGGCCCACAAAGCAGCAGGCTGAGCGCAATGCACTGATGAGGCAATGCGGCCTGAGGCGAGACCCACCTCCCGAAGCTTTCTAAACCAGCTCCCGCTTCTCCATGTAGGGGCCTTTTGTAACCAAGAGGAAGGCTGCAAACTAAATCCAGGAGGATTACGTTCCTCAGTATTCCACAGAGAGTGAGCTATGTGGATGCTGCAGTTTTAATTACACACTTGCTTTTTCTGAGGAAGAAAACCAAAGATATTTTTCAAAGTATTAACTTGTTTTCCATTAGGCAGTTGTTGTAACAAGTTCTTTCAGCAACGTGTTATGTCTTTAGAACGGGGTGCTTCAGATGGCGTGCACTAGCACAATTTTGTGGCTTTTAATTACTATTTTGTTCTTTTGGGGGGGTTCAGAGGCTGGCGCCTCGGCATGATTAGACCGTCTACTGGGCCCACCGCAATCACAAACACCTCCACCAGGTGGCGCCACAAGGCAGGAACTGCGGACTCCGGTAAAGGCGAGTGTCCCTCAACTCCGGGCCACGGTTTCCAACCACCAGGAAACAGAGATATAGAGGAAGTCGCCACTTCAGATTTAAAAGAAGAAATTGCAGTGATAGGGCCAAACAGCGTCCTAAAATGAAAAAACTGTAAAACAGGGTTAAGTGCATGAGATAAAACTTTTCTGTTTCTGTAAATTTAGCAAGATTTGTAGTATCGAGACAACACTCTCACCAAAGTATCATCCCATTTCCTTTTTCGTAAAAACATGTAATTTAAAGTTAGAACGAACTTGAAGGCCATCTGGTCAGTCCAACCTAGAGAGGAAATCCCCGGGATCGTTTTTCGGTTGTCAATTAGCCATCAAATACACGTAATTACTCAGAGTCTCGGTGTATCAGAAAAGTACAAGGGAAGATGCTTTCAAATATATCATTAGCAATACTACCTTTGAATTTATATAGCTTTTCTCTCAAGGAGCAAGGAAAATAGTTTAAATATTATCGAATTAATTGTCCTAATATCCCTGTGGGTTAGGAAGCAGGTATTATTATTATACCATTATATCAATGGACTATGTCAAGTGCCGAGTGGCTGACAACAGTAAATGCCAGACCCTTCGAGGAAAAGCGGAGATACAACTGGCCGGGCTCTCCGCACCGCTTTACTTTGATTAATGTTTGAAAGCTGACCCCGGACGTGAAAGTATGAATCACTGGAATTGGTCGACACTTATACACAGAGTGGGTTGGGAGACCCCATTTCTTCTTCTCGGAGGCGAAATGACAGTCTCCGTCTTCACGCCTTCTGTCCTCCTGCCATCGGTCACCCTGATTCCCCGCCCCCCCGCCTCCAGCCCCTCGCCTCGCAGCTCACACTCAGCAGCAGCCTGTCTGCACCCACGGCCACAGCAGCCGCAGCGCCAGCCCTGTGATTTCCCCCCCACACCCCCGCCCCGCGCCCGGCGTTCCGGAGCTCCAGAAGCCTTGTGGCTCGGCGCTTCTGATTGGCCGTTGCTAGGTGACGTCGCCTGAGCTCACGTGATGAGTGTTAAATGCCCACCCTGCGGGAGCCCGGCCCACAGACAATCGTAAAGCCGCTCGGGGCTGCTCACCTGCTCCCACCTCCTCCCGGAGCCCTGGCCAGGCCCCGCCACCCCTGCCCCCTCCACTGCCCGCCCCTCGCCCGAGCCCGCGCTGGGCAAGGCGCCGAGCGGCCCGAGAGGCGGAGAGAGGATGAGGCCGGAGGCAGCTGTCCCGAGCAGTGCACGGTGATCGCCTCCCCCGGAGGAGGAGTTGCCTAGACCATTGCCGCATTTCTTGTTTTCCTCTCCCCTCCCCCACTGTAATTACATTGGCTGCTGGAGGGGACAGGGAGAGACGGAGGAGGCGCCTCGCAACCCCCCTCGCGCCCGCCACCCCTGCTCTTTCCCGTCCCGGGCCAGGATGACTGGAGTCTTTGACAGTCTGGTGGCTGATATGCACTCGACCCAGATCACGGCCTCCAGCACGTACCACCAGCAACAGCAGCCCCCGAGCGGCGGCGGCGCTGGCCCCGGCGGCAGCAACGGCAGCAGCCTCCACAAGCCTCAGGAGTCGCCCACACTCCCGGTGTCCACAGCTACCGACAGCAGCTACTACACCAACCAGCAACACCCGGCGGGCAGCGGCGGCGGCGGCGGCGCTGGGGGCTCGCCCTACGCGCACATGGGTTCCTACCAGTACCACGCCAGCGGCCTCAACAACGTTCCTTATTCAGCCAAGAGCGGCTACGACCTGGGCTACACCGCCGCCTACACCTCCTACGCTCCCTACGGGACCAGTTCGTCCCCGGCCAACAACGAACCTGGTAAGCATAACTTTCGCGTCAAGGGTGCCAAGTCCGTCTAGTTCCTGGAATGGGTGGGATAAAAATATTTGGGACGGGGATCCATCTGGAGCCCTGGCCTTTCACACTGATTGCTTCCCGCTCGCCTCGCGCCCTTTACCCTCATCAACTTTCAATTGGCCGAGGGTCACCGGGTACGTCCCTCGGGTACCCGGGTACTCGGCTGGTGGGACCAGGTGGCCCCGGCGGCCGCCTCACAACAACCTCATTTCCCTACCACCTGCTGCTCCTTTCTTCCCCTGGTTTGCGCCTGTCTTCCCCTTCCCTGGAGGGGCCGACTCCCGGGTTCGCTGGCGGCGCGGGTCCGCGCGTTGCAAAGTTGTGCCTGAGCGCCGCGCAGCGTCTCCAAGAACCCGCCTCCCGGCTTAGGCCAAGTTTCACGCTGCTCTCCCGGCGGGCGGGGAACTCCTGGGCTCCCGCGGTTGCGCGGTTCTCACGATTCCATTTTATTGCAGAGAAAGAGGACCTCGAGCCTGAAATCCGGATAGTAAACGGGAAGCCAAAGAAAGTCCGGAAACCCCGAACCATCTACTCCAGTTTCCAGCTGGCGGCTCTTCAGCGGCGTTTCCAAAAGACTCAGTACCTGGCACTGCCCGAGAGAGCTGAGCTGGCGGCGTCTCTGGGCCTCACCCAGACTCAGGTGAGGGCTCGCGGCCTGGGAGGCACGAGTAGGGCGCTGGCCTGGGATGGCCAGGAAGCCGGCAGGTTTAGGACTATGTTTTTTAAAGTATTTTTTATAGTACTTTTAAGGATTTCGAGGCCCGCGCCTTGGGCGGCCTAAACTTCCACGCCCGAAGCTGAAATACCCCAGGGTGCCACCTCGTGTGAGAAAAGGATAGGACAGGGGTGGGCAGAAATCCGGTAGCAAGTTGTCCTTCCGCGTACTACTGATTAAGCGGGTAAAACAAGTGGCCCTCCTGACTCCCTCCGCTGTCACCATCACCTAAGTGCACACACATCAGCTCTCTCGGGTTTTTTGAGAATACCTCCCATTGGAGCAGGAACCGACAGACCCTCTGAGGCCGCAGCACGTGATCGGTTTACCTGACCAGGGTATCCACCTCTTAACCAGCTGTCTTCCTAAGCTTCCTCCCCTCCCCTGCCCCAGGCCGCGTTTCCTCCATTAATGCTCAGGTCCCTTTTCCACAAAGGTCAAAATCTGGTTCCAGAACCGCCGATCCAAGTTCAAGAAAATGTCTGCTTTTTATATTTTGATGCTCCTATGCCCCTTGGGACCAGCCCCCGGGGCCCAGCGCCTCGCCCCCTTGTGCTTCGCCGCCGGCCTCGGCGCCGACCTCCTGGGACTTCGGCGCGCCGCAGCGGATGGGGGGCGGCGGCGGCCCGGGCAGCGGCGGCAGCGGCGCGGGCAGCTCCGGCTCCAGCCCGAGCAGCGCCGCCTCGGCTTTCCTGGGCAACTACCCGTGGTACCACCAGGCCTCGGGCTCCGCTTCGCACCTGCAGGCCGCTGCGCCGCTGCTGCACCCGGCGCAGACCTCGCAGCCGCACCACCACCACCATCAGCACCACCACGGCGGCGGGGGCGCCCCGGTGAGCGCCGGGACGATTTTCTAACTCCCGGAGACTGCGCCAGAGACTGAGAGAGCAGGGACCAGTTATCCTTACTGCTCATCCCCAGAGCCATAGGGTCCCTCCGGCTGGCCCGATGATGCCACCCGCCGCTCCCGGAGGTGGCGGCCCAGGATGGCCTACCCCAGGCCCTGCTACCCTCGCGGGGCCACCGCGCGGCCAGGGACTGGAAGGCGTCTTCTCGCGCCACGGGCTCCTCTCGGAGAAACCCGGCATCCGCGGGAGAAACCCTGCCAAGGCCGCCTTTCCGACCTGAGCCCCGCCTCAGACTTGCCTCCCCTCCCCTC